ACACACACACACACACACACACACACACACACACACACAGATTTCTGGACGTGCATCCAACTTAAACAAGACATTCTGTGAAACAACTGAATAAGAAAATTCCTGAGTGATAGAGGCTGATTGTCTGTCTCTCTCTTCTGTGTGTGTCTGTGTTGCTGCATATTTGAAAACAGTTAACATATTTGCTATAATATGTCAACATACTGTGATCAGCGGCTATTTCTATCTATTTCTTATCTGCTCATGCAAGAACACATTCCAAGAAGGCAGAGTAAAGGCTTATTAAAGGTTTATTTTATGCCTTAGTTTGGGCTGTATCTATGACTTATTTTTATTTGAGATTATTGTACTTGTGATAATTTATTTATTTTTGCATGTAAGAAAATGTTTTCTTTAAAAAAGTAAGATTTTTTTTAATGGCATGTAATTACAATGATATTTTATGCAGTTAATGATTAACAGCATTTCATTTTCAACCAAACGACAGTTCAGCTCAGGCTGTACACTCTGCACGTGGATAATCAATGACTGTCGGGATGGGAGCTACTGGCACACCACTGTGTCCTTTCTGTTTAGAACCAGTGAACATATTTTCATTGCTTTTTTCTTCTTTAGTTTCTGTTGCACGTTTGGATGAGCAATGGCAAAGGAATCAATCATATGAACTTATGGGCTTTATAAGACCTGGTCATTGGGAGCAAAAGTCTGCAATATATGATCAACTTTGTATCAATGCTCGTGTTCTCTCTTACATTACATTCTGATCTGAAGCTGTGGAGAATGATATAAAACCTTGCATGTATTCAGATAAATTAGTGCGATACACATCATTTCATTTTTTACCTTTTTCTTTAATACAATACCAGCTGTAAGATTTAAATGCACTTCCTGAAGCATGTAATATGTTACATTGCTTGTTACTTTACTTTATGTGTTACTGCTGAACACGACATGAGATTTCTGTTGCCTGGTCCTTTGAGGCAGAGCAGTTTGTCTCTCGAGAGACAAGAGTGTTATTAAAATATAAAGAAAAACTTTAAACAAATATTTTCAAAGAAAAACAGAAATTTGAGTTTAAGTGACGCTTACATTTGTTACAGTGTTCCTGATTGAAATTCAGATTTCGGTGCCTCAGTTGCGACATCTGCAGGCAAAAGCAGGCAGAGCAGTCGTTGTGAGTGTGGGTGACAGAAACGTGTGTTGAGAGGACAAGTCGGCCCAATATCCTTAATGTTATTTTAATGCATCTCAGCTTTTTTCTACTTGTCTGATATTGCCCAGGACACGTACGATGATTCTTTAACCCTTATGCCCACCTCAGGCATGTGTGATAGCCTGAGGTGTGGATTTTTGCAGGAAATCTTTTTTTTTAAATTTTGAGATTTTTTAAATTTTTAGATATTTGAAAGAACGGCTGAGTAAAAACGATTTTTGAACAATTTTTGAAATTGTTTTCAGGATTTTAACCCTTTAAATGCCAGATTAAACATCTGAAGCATTTATTGAAATAAATCACAAAAAACTCAATATTTTCCCAATAAAGTGATACGAATGATTCATAATGTTAAATATAGAGAACATACAAATAAATTATTTATAAAATCGAAATTATTAAAATTAGGAGATTTAGTGAAATTCCGGACACTATTAATTATGTTTAAGGCTAAAAATAATATTTTGCCCTTTAAGTTACAAAGAGTATTTTTATTGTGCTCAAGGGGAGAAGATAGCAGAAGGAAATTTTATTTTAAGCATCAGTTAGCTAGGACTACACAAAGATTAATGAGTCCAACGGTTAGGGGTATACGACTGTGGAACTCACTTCATTATAATTTAAAGAATTGTATAAATTTACATTGTTTTAAAAAGTGTTACATGCTTAAAATGATAACTCAATATGAAGAATGTGAATGAAATTGGAGTTCATTGAAAAAGGATCCATTATAATTTTTTGTTTTATTTATTTTAATTTGACTTTTCTCCTCGTTACTATGTGGAGTGGTACATTCTGATTGTAAATTTGTCGTTTGGTTGGGTTAGGACCGGAGATAAATGTTAATGTTAGTTTGTTCCCTGATTTTTGGTGCCCACTTGTAATATAAATTGGATTGCAGATAGGGGGCAGGGTTTAATAAGAATATTTTCTTCTTCCTGCTCCTTTTCACACATGGTTGTAGTGCTTTTTGATAGAAAGTGTGGTTGGTTTGTTTGAATTGTTGTACCAAGTGTGAAATGAATGAAATGAAATAATAATAAATGCTGTGGGAGTGGGACATTGGTAGAGTCTTGGACAACAAAATTGATTT